GACTTACAATATTTGTTGTAGTATTAATACTAGTCAGGATTATCTGTCTCTCGTGGACTAGAGACAGATCTTTTACGTGATGAGGTCCTTGGTGCGTCTACGCTTATCATGAGCATCAAGGTAACAAATGAGAGTATGACAGAGGTACGCAGCGTCATTTTGTGTTCTTTGACAGAATAAATCTCGGCGCTGGGGTCCTATTGATCTACAGAATCCGGTCGGCTTATGAAGTTTTTTTGAAACGGGACAGAAACCGCCCGCATTTTAGGAGATGCTTAGATAAGAAGAGTTGTCCAAACAGGAGCTCGCTGAAAATCCGTTGACCAATGACCTCTCGCGTGCGTAGTCACATTTCTGTTACTGAGCCACGTTGCTGGTTCAGCCTTTGTTGATCCGTTAGGTCTCCACGTTCAAGGACAGCCTTCTTTAAAGTGATATGAGATTCATAAACATTACTAGTGAATATACTAGATGTACCGTACCCGTTAAAATCACTCAGTAGTTCCCCCAATATTGTGATGTTTTGTGCACATGGGTCTGTCACGCTGTGCTCTAGGAAGTCAACTTCTGTGTAGAAGAAACAGGCTTCGATATCACCAGGTCAGAATGGCATAAGTTTAAAAATAGGAGGCCAAAGAGTCAAACGCAAACAGCTTTGATGTCTGTTTCGTCATAATGAAGCTAAGGTATAGAAATATGTTGGATAGAATATCCGCAAAATACAAAAACAATATCACTTGATGTAAAGATAAAAATTAAAGACTGATACTTGATGTTTCATCAAAATATAGACTCACAGTTTATTGTTCGGTGTATCAAATGACATTGGGCTCACCACTAAAGTGCTACAGATAGTCGGAGTTTGACGCTTTAATAATGGAAGTATACCAACCAAGTCAGAAGTCAGAGATGAAGTGGTTGAAAGAAATATTTAGAAGGTTGTTGAATTGTCGAGAAGTGTTTAGTTCAAGCTGACTAGCAGTTGAAAGGGATGTGTAACACGGCGTAACAACTGGTGATCTGGTACAGATGAGTGACGGAACGTCTTCAGCTACGTGTGTTCAGTAAAACTAATGAGGTCAGCATCAAGTGTCGCAGACTTATAGAACTATTCGTTTTGATGATTTGTTTACCGCTTTAATGATAGTTAGAATATTCCGATATTTGGAATTTCAAATTGAACTGATGTGACAAGCGTATATACTTGTTCTTAAGAAACCGGAAATCTGCTATCAGTGTGTAGTGTATGTTTTCTGTTTTGGTCATAAAAGGAAGCCGAAGGGTCATTATCAGGGAGTAGAAAGGTTATTAACTGTTATTAAGCTCACTTTTTTATAGATCACATTTCACCACCCGCAAAGTTTTTTTTACGGTATGATGTCAACCGGTACCTAATATGTTCACCCTTACGATGAAAAGTACCTGCAAGTTTTCACCTTCATATTCGAATTATTTCTGGACAGCTGTCTTCCAGTTTGAGTGTTTCGTACACCCTGGGAGACTAGATTCTTACATTGTTCGTAGTTGCAGTATAACTCTCTCACGCAGTAAGTTCAAAGTAGACACTAGTCTTTCTAAATAAACCTGTTAAGCTAATATCCATATTCTCTATTTCAGTTAATCGATGAAGACATGTACCACGTGCATTTGCTGTATACTGCCATCTTACTCCAATTCTAACTGTTGTATCTTAGTTCTGGAAAGTAAAATTGCTATATGCAGCAAATACAGACTTATTTGTTTTGATGGAGATAGGGGGGTTCATGGAATTTTTGGCAGGACTAGTAATATTCTCACTAAAGAGCTAAGCGAGTGTGTAGACCAATGTAAGATACCATACAGGGTGCCTTTGGGTTACAGGTGTTCCATTAGTGCGGGTAGGGGCATTGCTTGCTTATCACATGGCATCTGAATAAGTATCTATAAGATTAGACGCAGGTACGGTTAGGATGTGTAACGCGCGTCCATCCATCAGCTGCCGTGATAACTCATGGTAGTTGGAATAAGTTATAAGAGGAACCGAGTCTGTAGGTTTCCCAAGAAAATGACGAAGATATGTACTAAATGAATTAAATTTACTACATATGAACTAGATGCTGGGAGGCTCGTATATCACAAGTTTCTTACAACGATTAAGTAGATAAATCAAAGTAGCATTAGATTTAAAAAATTATTCAGGAACTTTCATTAAGAATAGAATATCATCAGAATGGGTTGTTATCTCACAACAGACGGGTTGAACTCCACTGGTAACGGCTTCCCACTAGAACTCCAGAAGTTTTTCCTGGTTAGTCACTAGTGAGCAGTTGATTATTATCAGAATGGGTTTTGTGGAGAGTTTTTTTTAGAAATTTCACAGGTTGAAATCATGAGTCAGTTGAAGCTAGACCACCATTGAAAACTGAGCCGGCTCAGTGGTTAAGTGCTCACGCGCGAAGCCAGTAGGTCCTGGGTTCGAGCCCTGCGTGGTGCGGGATCGTGGATGCGCACTGCTGAGGCGTCCCATACCAGGACGAAACGGCCGTCCAGTGCTTCCAGGTTTTCAGTGGTGGTCTAGCTTCAACTGACTTTTGATTTCAACCTGTGAAATAGAATATCAAACAAAAGTTTGAACGAATTCCCCGTATAAAAGTTGTACTGGTAATATTAAGCTGCAGTCTTTGTTGTTTTTTTCCAAACGAAAGGGTAAAAGAAGTAACTCAAAAAGTAGCGGAAGTGGTTGTGAGACTAAAATGGACGTCCAGCATCCTTTTTATAACCTGCTGTTTCATACGGCCGTTCTAAGGGCGGAACAGTTCTTAGGATCTGTATAGGCTCGCTCCTGGTGCATTCTAAATGAGAAAATAGTAATGAATTTAGTCAGAAATGTGGAATAGATAAATAACCAAATTACATGATTTTTAGCAAAGAGTTTATGCAGTTGTGATTTGCCTTGAGTTCATGAATATTATATCAGGTCAGCTACTATTACTTGTGCAAAGCATAACAAGGACTTGGTACCGTATCGCAATGTTCTTATTATTTTGCTCTCATTTAAGTATTCCCATGCATCTGCATCTACTTTAACAGGAAGACATACAAGCAGAGTTAGTGTCTGATAAACTAAAAATCCCAGTTGTCAAAAAGATTCTTAAAATTTGTCCACAGCCAGCTGCATTTAATTGAGACACAGAACACTCATCTTCTAAGACTGTATGCTGCTCTTCTGCAGGCAAATAAAAGCTCAGACACTTAGCTATCCTGCTACCGATGTTATTGCTGGGGAAATTGTTTAATGACAGTGGTCTTTAAACTTGAACAGTGTTAGACGTACTGTCTACAAATAAACACCAAACGTACTTAATGCTATCTTATAATACATGACAGCAACAGCATCAAAGGCACGTTTTTTTCTCTATTTTTAATCAGACTGATTTGAATCAGTATACTCACTAAAAACAGGCAGCTCTACTTACTGAACTGATCCATTTCGTTACAGGCTTTAAGCACTATACTTAATTATACTATAAGCCTATCGACTAATCTAAATTATAACAGCAACCAACAATGCTGTAGGGCCAGTGAAGTGTCACTAACCGAACAAACACGCAGCATTCACCGTTTATCATCTTTTAGAGACTTCATCGTGCCACCTTTGCTGTGGATTTGTAGCCTTCAACCCTTACTGACTGTAACAGCAGTCATCGACTTTTCAAACTGTGACTACAAGTTCGTCAATAGCTTCGCACAACGAAATAACGACCACTCTTCACTATTATACTTCTGTACTTACGGTTAGTCTGTTAGATATAGATATAACTAGAATTCGACACTAATTAATAGCTGTCAACGACACTGTCCGACTTACAACTTTAAACTAATGACAGTACAAATATGGATATCGATTGATAATACACTTATCCTACTATCGCTATAGCATCATTACTCTTGCGGTAGACTTAACGTTTGTCATCGGAGGAACTGAATTACTTGTCAAGGCTATATATTTCAGCGCGACTTGATAGAACAATAAAACGTTTTGTTCTTTTCATTATTTCTATGGTTAATAGCTTTACGTTTAACCAACGTCCTACTAACATATTATGACTCGCTGTTTCCCGACCAGTTTCTGCCGCCTCCTTTCCATTTGTTTTACAGATAAGCAATACCTGGAGAATTTATAATATTCGTTTGGCACTCTCCGGCGCGCGACTGCTCCCAACATGTTTGGTACCGATTCAAACGGCCGTTGAATCTGGTGGGAGAGTATTGTAGGGCCAGTGAAATGTCACTGAGCCCTAGCCAAATCATCCGGCAGTTGGATCACTGAATGTCGAACAGATCATCGCTCCCTGCCAAGGTCATGTACAACAAACGCGCATTAGTTAATCATACGCCATGGACTGGCCCATGCGGCAGTGGTCTTGCTTTCGCTTGTATCTACTTTAACTAACATATTTCTGTAATAACGTCCTTTGTGTTGTACAGTCTTCAAAGCATCTATAGTACCTTGATACGTCAATGGGGTAGTCCACGTAAGGTGCTGACCACGAGGTGTGACTTCGACGTTAGTTGGTTCGTCACACTATTCACGTCTAAGTCGAGTAGGCCTCCAATCATTTCGACATAGATCATCTACGTTGTGGTCTACAATACTAAACTTAGCAAGTGTCATAATTACTATTCGATTTGAACAGAAATGTCGCTAAACGGAGTAGAATCAACATAATTCAGCCGATAAAACCAAAACACGAAATATAGGCCGTTTGAACTTACCTAACATAAAACGAAAGATACATATATATTGCTTTGAGACTGAAGACAACAGTCAGTTGCTCATAAAAACATAGTCTATAGTACAACAAAAAATTTTTGAGTAACATCATGCACTGACGGTCTATCTGGAAACAATAAACCATGTGATTAAACTAACTATGACTTGAGATAACATTCCAGCATGCAATGAACGTACAGTGTAACGCAGTCAGACGTGGCGAATAAAAATTAAAAACAGAGCAAAATTAACAACACAATCTTAATTTATTAAAAAATACATTATGGAATGACAAAATCTGTGGTTACTTGAACGCATAGATGACCGTTATTACACTGGGCGATACATTAAGATTACATGGTTGCGTTGCGGATAAATTCACCGCAGTCTGTTCTGATAAATCACCAAAGCATCTACCTTATACATAAAGGCCTGATTTTAAAGACTCTCAGAACCACTGAAAAAGAGCTGCAACTAAATCCATTAACTATACTTTGAGCATATGAGAGCACGGAAAAATTAAATTAGTTTACGTAAAGTCGAAGAAAGAGAATATTAGAAGCTGCCGAGAATCGTTAATTCCTTAAAGTCTTGAAGTTATGGTATGTTAAAAAATTGGAACTTAGTACATATGTGAAATATCTCACTTCAAGCTTAGCAAAGGCGTGAATATTGAAACGTTGAATCGACAAGCAGCTGCGAATTTTAATAAATTATCAATGACAACATCCCAAAAACATCGCAGTTTTGTTTCAGAACCCATTTCTGAAAAGGTTGTAGAAGAGTTACCAGGCATCGGTGAAAAACTTGGAGAAAGACTCAAAGCTAAAGGGTATGACAAAGCGTATGTCGTCTTGGGACAGTTTCTTCTTTTGAGGTGCGAAGAAGAGTTATTCAAGGAATGGCTTTCACAAACATGTGGTGCTAATTCAAAACAGTCCGGAGATTGTTACACTGCCCTTAAAGACTGGTGTAGTTGTTTCATTTTCTAAGTAGTGTACACTAAGAATATTATGTAACATTGTTATACGCATCTTATTTTCCTCTACGTGCATTTTGTTAATATTTGTTTTAAAAATTTATGCATTGAAGTATCCAGTGCAATATATTGTACTCATATTTTCACCTTTAGATTTTTAAGACGAATCGCGGTAACCAAACTGATCAGTGATAGTATTCTTGTCATAGTGATTAATTAGTATAGCAGCTCTCATACATTAGTTAGTCCGAACTCCTAGCTTCGTGCATCAAAGTTGCCCGTCAATGCGCATCTGCAGAGATGTTTTTGCGGGATCGTAGGCTGATCATGGAATAACGTATCTTAATGGCCTATATGAACTAGTATAGATAAATACAGTAGTCACATATTTTGTCGAAGTGCGGAAACAGTGGGTTCTCCTTGTTACTATTAGTTTTTTAACCTTGAAGTGACGGTTTTATTGCAAACGAGTTAAGAGGATATAGTTGTGGGGTAGTGTTAAAGTTAGTCATATACAACGTAGGGCTTGACACTTGCGTAATCTCAAATTGACACACTCTGATGGCACATGCACAAGATTATCAAAACAAATCCCAGAGTGGTAGACGTAGGCGCAATATCAGTAGTTGTAGGAAGGATTAGTCGTAGAAAAAAAAGTTATCCGGCATCAGGATTCATGTACTAAAGAAAGATAGTGAGTGCACCTGTGCTATCGCAAACGATCCTGAGTTATACAATCAAAAACGCTGACTCGCGTTTATTGCTCTAAGATTGTTTCGAATGGTTAAATGTAACTGCAGGGTAGTATGTTTTTGAACCTAACGCAAACATGTTACTGACTTATGGTTCTAGTTCCGTCCTAATTAAGGAGACAACTTCTTCAATGAACTTTTATATATTCGTTGCATCTTCGGCTTTTTAACAGTTAGTTACATGCTTGATTGTTGTGTTCTGTGAACCGATTGGCTTTAAACATTCAGAAGTGTTTTCTGTCCTTTAGTTCGTCTATAAGTCTCTGTTGCATGTACGCAAATGACGTAAAAATTATGATCGAATAAAGTTCAAGCAAGGAAATGCACGTTTTTTTACACTTCAGTCATGCTTTCCAGTAGCATCATTAACGACATGTAAAGTAATTTCACATCACATTTTTAAACCAACATGATTAGTGATTACTAGAGTATTTTTAACGGAACTGCATAAAAATCTCGGGTATTCACTGTCTTAATGTTTTAATCATGAGGTCTAGCTGTTTGGAGAAATGATGGATTTCGACTACATACAAGTGATTCAAGGTTAGATGGTCTGAGTTAGAAACTTGTTCCTATCATTTTGGGGATTTTCTCTACAAAGTGCAGTTTATTTATGGACTGGCCGATTATTAGCCTCTTTTTAGCACCTTTAAATAATTAGTGCAATGTAAAATAGGCTTCCAGTTGGTCATAAAAGAAGATTATTGGGGTCGGGAATAAGAGCAGCATTATTAGGAACTCCCGAGATGGGGTTAACTGAAATAGTGTAAAGTCAAGAGGTGACATTTAAAAAAGTTATACAAGTTTAAGACAGATGGAGGATGAATACAACTAATTCTTAATCATATGTCTCCGGATTTGGCCACAAATCGTAGATCTTTCTGCACGCTGATCAATTTTTTAACTGGTTTCTTAGCCCAGTGTGGATAAATAGTGATTTAAAACTTGATGGAACATAGGAATCCAAATATACATAGATTCATATTTTCTAGTTGGGTTGGAGAATTGGAATTAATTACACAGAAAGGGAATCCGTTGAAATGTTTATGATTGAGCTCAAGCTAGATGGTCTCTTGTGAATTATTATTGACGGTTAGCTATCTTGAACCCATTTGTGAAATATAAAGTAGAAATAGTGTTTAGTTAACACATTGTGTGTATTGTTATACAAATGATAAGATTATCCATATAGCTCTTAGTTGAGCTTATAATATTCGTACTGTCAAAAGAATGATCATTAATTAGCTCATCTAGTCGAGATTTCATCGCTATTATTGATGGAGATGTGTTAACCCATGTGCTTGAGACTAAATCAAAATCAGCTCCTTTATTTGCTGTATGACTGGTAAATTATACTAACTCGAAAAGTTTCCCTTGATAGGTCTAATAAACAAAGAACTTAGAGGTTGTTATTTGTAGAAAGCCTAGGTTTCAAACGAACTGTGAGATTTCAGCTGAGGAAGATTTCAGACATGAATGTCATATAGATCTGTAGTAATGAGTAGTTCCAAAGATGTTTCGTGAACTAAATCTCGAGTTGTTTTGGAGTCAATCGCCTATGTACTCCCTCATTAGAATTAGTATGGCGTACTGAAAGCCATAGAAACTTGGGTAGAAACTAACTTGTATCTATGGATTTGATGGTATGTGAAGACTCGGTTAGTAGACGTAAGCAGAGTCTTTACATCCCGGTCATATACGTACCATAGCTAACTCCAGGGCTACTTAATGTTCAATTTTTTATTTGGAATGGTATTGTGTTAATAATTCTTAGGACGTTCTGCGCAAATTATTACGAAGAGCTTAGAAAGCTACAAAACATGGTCACAAATAAATTAAAAGTAGCTGTTTTGTGTGATGAACTGTGACACTGGTTGTAAAGACATGCAATTTACAGACACTAGATGACAGTTTTCTCTCCAAATTTATAACCTCCTGTTGAGACATGAATATTTTGTTACGTACCACTCGGCATGTGAGATGACGCAGTGAATAAGTTTGATTAAGTGACTTATATCTGTCTACAATTTTTATTTAAACTTGTAGTACATAAATAAGCAGTTTTGTTGGCTTCTATTGGTTACTGCATCCTCTATGTACGCGAGAGCATATTTGTAACCGGGACCGTTGCCTAAAGATTAATAAGTTAGGGTAATTTATTCGTGTTTCTATGTACTTACTAGAAGTATGTTTTTGTATGGATGATTTATTTACTAAACTTTGTATACCGCAACTTTCTGCTGAATATACATTTGATCAGGTATGTTTCGTAATTTTTCTACATTGTTTACGAACCAAAATAACTAATGAAAGCGCATATAAATTATTGTCATAAACTGGTCGATGTAAACCACGTTCTACAAAGTAGTAGATAAATCTTTTTTTAAGTACAGTGCATTAGGTTGCATACTGGCAAATAAATATCAAATAGTTCCTTAGTGGTTGCTTTATTGGTGTAATTGGATTTTGGACTTCCTTGTATTATAAGATCTATGTTAACCATAGTTACAGTTTGATTTCTGTTTATTACACACAAATCTGGTGATCAAATAATACATTTGCTTAATACAGCATGTCAAAATATTATAGGAATTAAGGATACTTGTGATGAAAATGCTAGTTTTTCGGTCAGTTTGTGACTTTAGTAGAATGGATAATATCATAATTCAAGGTCATGACTTCACATACTATTTTTTTAAAATAATAAATTCACTTTAATTTCTATTTCGTTTCAATTCCACAAAGATGCGCACACCCAACCTTTATGAATTTATCGGTTACTTTTATTATCTGAACGTCTTTAATACACTTGAGGTCGGTTGTTCTAGTGAGGCATTTTCTTTAAGCCTGTTTATGAATGGATACGCAACTATAGGTGATGAAGGTAAGCCCATCGCTATTTATTATCAACAAACCAGTGGAGTAGCAATAAGCTCACCTGCATCACCTATGGCTGCAAATCTATTCATGAATACAATTAACGGAAATGTCTTTCTAATGCATATTTAGACCAAACGTTTGGCTAAGGTACATTGATGATACGTTTGTGGTATTAAGGTGTGACATACATCACTCATTTTTAAAGAAACTAAACAGTAAGTCACCCAGCATCAAATTTACTTCAGAATGAGATCGGGGAATTGCCTTTACAGACAGTAAATCTAATCTACATATATGTTATCTTTACAGATTTATTCACTCGACAACGCGAAATTACTTCATGCAGAACTTTTATCAAGTTATTGCTTATAAGATAAGATTGTTATAGGTTCTGTAGGCTTAGTAGCTAAAGCGTTTGGCTTTCAATCATTAGGTTCCAGATCCGAACCTCATTCCTCTTCTGTCTAGGCAGCCGAGTAGTACCATTAGCCCTAAAACCTGGGGCTTGGCTCATACTGACGCACCTGATATATGGGCTTTTCTTTATTATCATTTAATGTAGAAGTGTCGGCAAAAACAGTCTTGTTTTGTTCTTCACCCATTGGAAAATATAAACTTCTAATAATAACGAAAACTATCTGAATACCTAACCAGTTTCACAAATCGTGAAATTTCGCCTCATTTGTAGGAAATTTACGCTTGAGTCTGTTGATTTAGATCTAAATTCGTATATACTTTTAGTTTCTACATATATTCAAATGATCGATAAACTACAAATGAAATGCATTTTATTTAGTGATTTTGTTATAAGATCTCAAATGTTTTTCGAAATATATCTACTAGAGAGATATTATGTAACTACAGTCCTAAGTTCACTCTCCGAATGTAACAGTAAGTCACTCGAATCATGAAACATTTTTTTCACATATATATATATATATATATATATATATATATAATAGTGGTGTTATGATGATTTGGCACATTCAGCACTTGTATTAAACTAAGGACCTTTATATGTATGCTGAATTCTTACCAGTTAGTTAACAAGTAAGGTTCTAGCCTAAAGATATAAAGATTATAAAGCTGGTGCAATTTGTTGTTATTGTAATGTCGGAGAGTCATTGACTAGGAAGAAATAATTATTAGAAATCCTCCATCTTCTGTTACTTCAATAGTTGATAAAACAATGGTACAAACTATAATCTTTTGTTGATGATATTATACCCAATTTCGTAAATATATTCCCGTCTACATAACAATGCGTTAGATGAAGTCAAAAGTTTATTTTTTGAGACTTTGATAATTATTTTCACTGTACCAATAAACCTTATAAATTTCTAATCAATGAAATTCGTTTGTATGATATTTATTTCTCAGATTAAACTAGAGAATAAATATGGAAAGATGTAACTAGAGAGGTATTAAAACACAATAGTTCTTGTTATTTATCATTCAATGACTTTTCTTTTCAATCATTTAGTACAATGTTTACTGGCAGTTCCATACTTTTAATTATTCGTTAATACAATAAAAAAAAGGATTTCGATTCCATTTCAGACTTATTATCAGAAATCATATGTATGCAAATATCTATTTGTGTTTTTGTTCTTGTCGTATTGACGGGAATGCTTACCAGTTCTTGAATAAAAATTGTTTTTCCTATTTGAACCAGATAACCTGTCAAACTAAATGATCTCTATTGAACCATCGATACTGGTTCATGCTTGTACCGAATCCTATTACTAGTAGCGAAATTGTTTTGTAAATAAGTTGATCATTGTAAAATATATAAAAGTAAATATTAGTGAAATTGAATCAGTTTGTTTGGGAGCTGGAAAATATGTATACCACGAGGTCCTGAATATGTACAAGACCTTAACAGTGTTAAAAGTCATTCTGTATTCATAATAAACTAGAGAATTTCGTTATAAAACATTTTTATACTTAGTGTGATGACCGAGTCCATAGGTAATCTTCAGCTTGTCAACATATGTCATAGCAGCTCTGTATTTTTGCAAGTACATGAAGTTGTCTTTAAGCACTTAGTAGCCTCTGTCTGACTCCATTATGATCGAGTGATGTTATTGATAAAATATACACCATACTTCGATAAATACCGTCTATAACAACGTAGATATAAAAATCCGAATACGAAAGTACTCAAGGAACGTATATTTCAGACATTCGATGATTCAGGTGAACAATCGAAAATTAGAGGAAATGCAACTGAACAGCGGTGGCAGAAACAATCAATTCAGTGAGTAATAGGTGACTCAGTCTTTATAAACATGAGGGAGACACAAATAAGCACACAGACACATTTGTACTGGCAAGCATACGTGTGTAAAGCGTGCTCAAGATTAAACACAAGTAATTAGCAGGAGCAAATATATGGGTAATAAAATGAATTAGAGGGTTAGAATAATTTATCCACCTGAGCTACAAATATCTACCATCTCATTATTTAAATGGTTAAGATCATGAGTTAGTTGAAGCCAGACCACCATGGAAAACCTGGAAGCACTGGACGGCCGTTTCGTCTTACTGTGGGACTCCT